CACTCCCCCTTGTGCAGCCAGATACTGCACCGAATTATTCTGTCAGAGAGACATCCATTGACTAACGCAATCAAGGAGTCTGCCACATCCCTGTAACTCCCTTTCTCCGTGTTACAATTATTCGATTACAATAAACGGTTCCTTGTATCACTCCTGCTGACGATTGTTGCTGGATTACTTGTTATCATGTCGTCTGGGACACGGAATCAATCCATTGACGAGCCCTTCTCAGTTGGTCGTCCAGCGAAGGACTACGAAGGCACCGGCGATCTGAAGCCCCTACAGGACGAGGACAAGCTGGGTATTACAGATGGTCTGGCCAATCCCTACTATGAATTTTCTTTTGCTCAGAGAATTATGATACGTTTGTATAGAACGCGGGACAGCGCATTGTGACTGTGGCCAGTCAATTTCGAGGAACGTCTCATCGGAAAAATGTATCATCTACCTGTTGCCTGTTAAATTTCTCATTTTCCGTATTACTCACCAATAAACTTTCCTTGAATGCGGATTATCCATCGAGTACATCCCCGATGCAGTTGCGCTAGCAGAGGAGTAGTCCATATGACCCCTTTTTAAATACTACCAGAGATGCATGAACCAGCTCTGATGCCATTTTCGCACGCGCCGTCGGCGACTGTGAGACCAGAGTCGCTTTGGCAGCGGAACTCTGTCAATAATGTCAAGGGTGTCCATTTTAAAGTCACGCACGCAACGATGTCTTGCGCCCATACAAGGGAGTGTTCCACGACTGCCTGCCTAATCCCCTTGACTCTGCCGCCCTTGGTGCACGGACTCCCCTTTCACCAAATTTCTCCGCATCAAAGTGCATTCTACCGAACGCTGCAGTCATCTCGGTTTGTCCCTCTAAAAGTGCGTTTTTTCGTTGCAATCGGATATTGACTGTGTAACAAATTTTACGCGTATAAGTCGATTGCGCGCGCCGTCTTATGGCTGACGTCTGCGGAAGCACGATAAACGGGGGTTGTGTCAGCTTTTTGTGATGAAATTTTTCAGCCGTCGCAGACATCTCAGGGCAGAATTGCAAACTTTCCGAGTCAAGTAGGCTGTTAAATGCCTGAGGCTACTAACAGCAGGAATGTCCCCCAAGTGGGGGCCGTCCGCCTGGCCGTTTTCCGGTCCGGCGTAGGCTGAAAAACTCGTGGGGCTGCAAACTGTGGAAGCGCTTGGGAAGAAGGACCGTCTGCTTGTGCAAAAGTAGGCGCAAACGCATCGGCGCGACTCAGGCGGAGGCCGCTGTCCCAGTCAGTTAGAGAATACCGACTGCTTCCCAACTCTGGATCGCGCCTATCTAAACAAAAATTTGTCCAAGTTGTGCTTTTGGAGAGACTAAAATATCCCGAAGTAGCTGCGTAGTTTGTCGAGTTCGTGCAAATATATTTCCTACCACGAACACAGACGTCTGCTTCATTTTCTATCCTGATCAGTGCGCCAAGGTGCGTTTGACGTCAGACTCAAACGTCCACTTCTTGCAGTCTAATAGAACCCTCCTACAATTGTTTGATAATTCCGACACCCGGTGTCGCTAACAAACGTTTTGTCACCCTACGGCAACTGCCACGACAATCCGTTGACTTCGCCATTGGTCCGCTCCAATCTATTGGCTGACCGTTTGCGGTCTTATCCTTCACAGATTTATCATGGACTTCCAAGATCACATCGCGACCGAAATTATTCTTTTGCATCCCCCAGCCAACGTATCTGCCGCTATCCAGCAGTGTCGGCTATGCAAGATGTATCACACGGGTACAAAACTACTATCGGATTTTGACAACAAACCTATCTGGTCAGCTTCACAGTCTTTCTGTAAACACACTAACTTACTTCTACAATTCACAGACCACAACTCAGCCCTCAAGCCTGACTCAACTGACCGGATAAGTTTCCATTTTTAGCCCCTGCATACCTGGACATATCCTCTCATCCCCCATTTACCGTACCAGTCAACTTTGTTGGTCAGTCTGTGCAAGCTGTAGTAGACACGGGTGCCAGCGTATTTCTCGTAAATATTAACAGCTTACAACACAATCTACACGAACAAATGGAGTCCCTAGACACTCAATGTAACCTTTGAGCGACGGACAACACCAAAATCGCTATGACAGGCCGTGTGACTCCACAGCTCACCCTTGAGGAATCGCTCGAAGCCTACCCCGTTCTAATCAGCCCATTGACTTTCATTCTCGGATTAGATTTCTTGTCAGATTACGACTGCACCATTCATACCGGAGACCACCGTCAATTGCTAAGTTCTCTTACCGTGGCTCCAGATCATTAAGTTCTCGTCCAACCACCATCTCCTCTCCCATGCGGTCTTATGACCTCACTGTATTTACCACGGTGTTATTTGTTCTGGACACCCGCGAAACTCACATAACGTCCTACCACTCGGAGGGAACGGTCTCGTAGGGTGCGCCAACCGGACTATCCGCAACCTCGTCCTCACCAAGGACGACCGTAAACACGACCGAGATGCTCAGCAGCCTTTTGCCTTTTTGACATATTGAGGTTCCGTCCACTCTTCAACCGGCTTGATTCCACTCTACCATTGGACTGACCGCAAGTTGCGCCTTTCGACTGCTCACCGGTGTCTACTACACACTTCTAGCCACATAACCGCCATTCTACATGCTTTTCAGTTCAGAAAGACTTCGTAGATGGCACAGCTCGGCAGGTGATACAATCAGTACAGCACATTCCCACCAAAAAG